GGGAACAGCTGGCCCTTCCCAGGGCCTGGGATCCCGGGAACAGCATCCTGCAGGGAACAGCCAGCCCTTCCCAGAGCCTGGGATCCCGGGAACAGCATCCTGCAGGGAACAGCCAGCCCTTCCCAGAGCCCGGGATCCCGTGGAACATGCGGGAACAGCATCCTACAGGGATCAGCTGGCCCTTCCCGGAGTCTGGGATCCCGGGAACAGCATCCTGCAGGGAACAGCCGGCCCTTCCCAAAACTGGGATCCCGGGAACAGCATCCTGCAGGGCACAGCCAGCCCTTCCCAGAGCCCGGAATCCCGTGGAACATGCGGGAACAGCTCCACCTCACGGGCTCCAGGCTCCGGATAAATCCCCGGGCACCACGTGATGCTCCGCTGCCATTTCAGGGATCCCCGTCGGGAGACTCCTGTGTCCTCTGGCAGATGGAAACTCGCCCTCAGAAACCCACTCCCGGGATAAACAGCTTTAAGGGAGCTGAGGGACGTGCTGGGATTTGCTGTGCAGAGGAGGCAGGGAGGGCTGGGGGTGTTTCTGGCATTCCAGGGATCAGTGATGAGCTGTTTGTCAAAGAGGAGGGACTGTGTTGCTGCTCTAAAAATCAGAATATGTAGTGTTTTGCCAGGGCTGTTCTGGGTCACTTGAAGGTCTTCTTGCAGCCTGTTAAATATCCACACATTCCTGCATGGATTTTGTAAATCACAGGTAATCTGTGTCTCTGAAATCTCTCTGTGCCTCTGAAACTTGGGATAACCGTGAGCAGGATCCTGCTCACGGCTCCAGGAGCTCGTGTTCACTTGGTAGCACTGGAGAGGTGAAGGATTTCCTGTCTCCAGCTTCTTGGAAGCTGCTTCTGGAGCCACAGCCCACGAAGGGAAAGTTCTGAAGGCCACACAGAGGTTTTGGGAAAGACCTGTTAAAGCTCCAAGTGACACTGTAAACCAGTGTCCTTCCAGGAGAAAGGGGGAGTCATTCATGGGTGGGATTTGCTCTGTTGATGGAAAAGTACAAATTTGGTGTGTTTTGGTTGCAGAATCAGAGGACTGAACTTCAAGGCAAAGTCCTCCTCACACTGTCAATCATCCTGAATCCCACTCCCTTAGGGAACTCTCTGGGAACTGGATTGTGTCCTGTAGAGATTCCAGGTCCTGGTCTGAGACTGGGCTTTCTAAAACCTGATACCTGGGGGTGTTGGTTTGAGGGAACATCGTTCAGCCAAAGGCTGTGTGAGGACACACTTAAAAACTCAGCACCAAGCAAGAGGTGAATCCTTGCTTCCGTTCCCTTCGTGGCTGCACAGCTCAGGGACAAGGATCTGGGGGGGACTCCTGGGAAGGGGGTCTTACAGCCCCAGAGCCTCACCTGAGCCTTGACAAGGAGGGAATGTGGGATCATGGAGTCATGGAATGGTCTGGGTTGGAAGGGACCTTGAAGCTCACCCAGTGCCACCCCCTACCATGGGCAGGGGCACCTTCCACCAGCCCAGGTTGCTCCAAGCCCCGTCCAGCCTGGCCTTGGACACTTCAGGGATGGGGCAGCCACAGCTTCTCTGGGCAACCTGCTCAAGGAAAGTGAGGAGGACTGTGATTCCAGTCTGGGAATGGCTTAGGGCTGACGTTTTCTGGGTGAACAGGTGCCAAGAGTTGCCTGCTCCAGTTATTCCTGTGTTAAATTGACATCTTTGGGCCTTGCTCTGGGCTGTAAATGGTCACTTCTGTGGACTTTGGGCTAAATGTAGCCAAATAAACCATCCCGAGTGATCATTTGGATTTGAGGAGGAAATGTGGGAACAAGGGAAGAGAGTGATGAGCCCAGTGGCTGTTGGGTGATCTCCCCATTCCCACTGCAGCACTTTGTCCCTAAGGGATCTGCTGTGGGCTCCAAACTGGTTTAATTCCTTCCCCCACAGGACAGCAAGTGCTGAAATGCTGACTCAGGAGTCCAGTGTGTGCTGGACACGGAGTGTGGGGCAGTCCCACCTTCTCCTGAGCCCTTGTGGGAGCACTGGGGTGGCAGCAGAGCTGTGTCATGCCACGGAGAGCTGAGGCAGCTGGCCCTGGCTCTGAGCTCTGGTTCCTGCTGCTCCCGTGTGGACAGACAGAACAGGGAAACTGCTGGCTCTGTGTTCAGCTGCAAGTGTCCCTGTCAGTGCTGAGAGGGGCTCAGCTCCTCCCTGAGCCTCTCTGGAGGATGCACTTTCCAAATCAGTGACAAATGCCTGTGTTTGCTTTCACCAGCACAGAATGAAATGCTTGTGCTGCCACTGCTCCCTCTCCTGCCTGTTTTGGCTGGGCTACCCGGGCAGGATTCAGCAGCCTGTCTGGGCAGAAATGAATTAATCAGCTTAGCTGGCTGTTTTGGTTTCTCTAATGGCAGAGCCTGGATGCAGGGACACAGGGAAATCAGTGCAGGGGAGTGTAATTATAAACATCAAATAGTGGGCAGAGCTGCACTAATCCCTCAGTAATTGAGGTGATTATGGATTACCAGACAGCCTGAGTTTCCGAGGTGCTAACTACCACTTCCCAGCAGTGGGGCCTTGACAGCTGGACTTGGGAATCTTAAGGAATCTTGCAGGGAAGAACTCGGGGGCAGGGCTTGTCTCAGCTGAGGTGAGTTCAGGTGGGAATGGTTTAGGTGCATGTATCTAAATGTGAAATCTGGTTCTACAGCGTGATGTTTTCGTAATGAATTGACATGCTAATGATGAGCTCTCCTTCTAATTGCAATTAGAGTTCAGTTCTGGCTGGCACGTGCCGTGCCACGAGCGCACAAAACAAACCCACTGGGTGTTTTTCTTCCCGCTAATCCTTGGCTGCTGAGAGGTTTGTTGTGTGTTTGCCTTGTTTTTCCCTTAGCTGGAGCAGGGCTGTGGCCTCCCCACAGCAGCCAAGGAGTGCCTGAGCTCCGTTGCCAGCCAGGATGTCCCGACCCCACAGAGGCCCCGAGCGGTTTTCCACACCAGGGAGAGCGACCCGGTGAGTCCCCTGGGTGACACCCCTGTCCCTGTCACACAGCCAGGCCTGGGTGCCACCAGGATGTGCTGGGGCCAGGAATGCTGATGGGGATTGTGTTGTTCAGAGGAGGTTCACAGCCCTAAACCAGGGATGCAATCCCACGGGAACGGCCGCGGCTGGGCAGGGCAGGGCGGGGCTGCTCTGCCCGAAAGCCCCTGGGAACAAACATTGATTCCTTTCTCCAGAGCTGCACAGAGGAAGCTCCTACATGTGAGCTTCATCTGTATTTTGCAGAAGCTCAGATATGTCTGATGACACCATTAATTCCAACTCCAGGGTTGTTCCTCCCTGACCAACCTCCCCAAATTGGCCACGAAGGGGATAAAACCCCCCGAGCCCCCACGACCCTCAGCCCGGCACAGCCCCGCAGCATCACAATTCCAGCCTCACACTCCCCGTCTCGGGATGCAAAATGAAGTGGAATAAAGGAATGGAAAGGAGCCTTTGAGGTGCTTTTCTGCTGCCTCTGTAATTGGAGCCTCTCGGTGCCGATTCCTCCGGGGTCTCTATGGAAACGGCAGCGGGGAGATGATCCTGCCGCACGTGACCCCGTGTCTATGGATTGCACAGCAGAGTCCAGATGGCAGTGATTGTCCCCCCTCTGTCCTGTGCCTGCCTTTCACGTTGCCAGGCAACTGGCTTTGGCATTCTGGCTGGATGTGCCCGGGGTTTTTGGGGGGTTTTGGTGGCAGCCACCGCGTCCTGCTCTGTCGGCTCGGCCTCCCCGGGGCTCCCTGGGTCGCTGCAGCAGCAAACCTGCACCCCAGGAAGGCCCATGAAAAATGGATTGAGAAGGCCAGATGAACACGAAATTTTTCATAAGATGTGGCTTTTCTGTACCTTTCCATTAGCAAAGCTCAGAGCGACTGAACGTGGGGGCAGAGACACCGTGACCCACTTTGCAGAGGGAGGGAATTTGCCTGAAGTTATGCAGCAAGTCAGGGATGAAGCTGAGAGTGAAAACGGGCTCTGGAGTCCACTGTTTGAGCCCAAAGGTGACACTGCCATGAAAAAACCACAGTTAATCTGTGTCCAACACGTGCAGGAAAACCCCAGGGAGCCCAGAGTTTGAAATGAGCTCTGATGGGGAAAAGGTTGGAGTCCCAGTTCCCAGATCTCCCCGAGGGACCCCTCCCTGCAGCAGGGCACCTCTTGGAAAGCCAGGATTTGAAATCACCCTTCCTGGGGCAAAGGTTTCCTCCTGACCAGCAGGCACCAG